GGGGCAAGGTGCTGCAGGGGATTTCAAACCCTCCGGATCCTTTTCAGGGGGGGTTCGAGTAACTCGGACGACTCAGTTGTGAAAGGCTCAAGTGATTCCTCGCCGAGTGCGGATTTAGCAACCGGGCCATGCCTCTCTTTTGGAAGTGGTAAGTTTCTCGTGCACCTGTTTCCGGCAGCCGATGTAGATGGCGTTGGGGCGCTCTTACCTGCCATACCGGGACCGACACTGCCCCGCTCCAATAGCGCCTTCACAATTCCCTTGTCCCCGCGCAAGGCAGCCCATGAAAATGCTGTTCGGCCATCCTTATCCGCCGCATCGGGGTCGACATGGTTCCGCTCCAATAGAATCTTCACAATTCCCTCATGCCCAGACTCGGCAGCCCATGAAAATGGTGTTCGGCCGTCCTTATCCGCCGCATCGGGATTGACGTCGTTCCGCTCCAATAGAATCTTCACAATTCCCTCATGTCCAGACTCGGCAGCCCACATAAATGGTGTTCGGCCATCTTTATCCGCCACACCGGGATTGACATGGTTCCGCTCCGATAGAATCTTCACAATTCCCTCATGCCCATCCCCGGCAGCCCATGAAAATGGTGTTCGGCCATCCGTATCCGCCGCATCGGGATTGACATCGTTCTGCTCCAATAGAATCTCCACAATTCCCTCATGCCCATGCTCGGCAGCCCATGAAAATGGTGTTCGGCCATCCTCATCCGCCGCATCGGGATTGACATCGTTCCGCTCCAATAGCACCTTCACAATTCCCTCGCGCCCACGCGAGGCAGCCCATGAACATGGTGTTCGGCCATCCCCATCGCCCGCATCGGGATTGACATCGCTCCGCTCCAATAAAATCTTCACAATTCCCTCATGCCCAGACCCGGCAGCCCACATAAATGGTGTTGTGCCATCCTTATCCGCCGCGTCGGGATTGACATCGTTCCGTTCCAATAGAATCTCCACAATTCCCTCATGCCCACTCATGGCAGCCCATAAAAATGGTGTTCGGTCATACTCATCCGGCGCATCGGGATTGACACTCTTCTCTTTTAGTAGCAGCTTAACTACACAATCATGTCCCTTCCACGCAGCACGAGTCAACGCTGTGCGACCTTGTAGGTCCGCTGCGTTTAGATCCCATTCCTTGATCTCAAATAACGAGATCATTACGTCCGCAACCCCTAGGAGAGCTGCGCCGTGGAGCCCGGTGAAACCAATTGGCCTATCTTGACTATTGACGGGGGGATTCCACTCGTTTTCCTTCAATAAGAGCAGCTTGGAAGATATGTGCGTATCGAATTGATCGAGCAGTTCCAGCGCGAGTGATATTACATTCGGGTTAGTTTCTCTTCGCACATGTGCTCCCCAGTAACAAGAAGCATATTCAAGAAACGGAGTCATTGGTGGGGGTGAACGGAGAGCGGTGGAGAGGTCCCTTATGCATGTAAAGTTTAGGTAACTTAAGCAAACCTCGGCGATCGTAGATTGGGGACTATGGAAGAGTGTAGGATTGGCCAGAATATACTCCTGTAGAGTGAAATGCACGAGCCGAACCTTGGAAGATGATGAATCGAGAGTGACCAGTCCTAGTCCACAGCTCAATACCGTCCGTATTGCAGGCTCGTTGTCACCGTTTAGATCTTTCGATCCGATTTCTACCCCTAAATCTTGACATAGCTCCTCGGGTTTCAATGGCCGTTCTGAATGCGCTACCCACATGATGGCTGCCATTCCTAGTCGTGATCTGTCCTCTTTCTGAGCCCTGATTCTTTCTAAAGTCGTCGCATATGCATCTCCTACACCGTGACCACGTGACATCCGTTTCAACTTTTCCTTCCTTCTGTGAATCGTTGTCTCCGTGAGAATTGCCTCGATGCTAAGAGAGACAAGAAGGAATCTGTATATAATTATTCATCAGTAACTTGACTTCTAAAAAATGTAGGAGTACTAGGAATCTCGGCATACATGTCGGCCATTTTTTTCGGGATAATTTCCATTATCTCAGCTCTTAGACACTCATCCATGGCGTCAGATTCTGTGTCCTCGTCCAACTTCATCCTCAGAAATGCCTCGGTGTCTTCCTTCGTTGGACTAACTGAGATTGTTTTTACCCCGGAGAAGTGCTTCTCAACTTCACTGCGGATGAAAGGCCTTGCGGTTAGAAATAAGTGGACATTTGGCAACTCCCTCGCGATATCTCGGAGAGAGCTAAGAAGCCCGGCGCGATGTGCAGGGAGTGATTCATCCAAGCCGTCAATACATATTACCACCCGTCGTCGTTGGGCGATTGTTGTCTTCAACATATTAACAAGTTCCGGTACTCGAGGGCCTACTCCACCAAAATGGTCCTTCGCGTCTTCGAAAGCCCTGCGTATATCCCCCGGAATGTTTCCTCTCTCCACCAACTGCTTGAGCATGGCTCCCAGCATGTTTGATGTAGTCTGTTCCTTTCTGTCAAGGTAGTCGCAATACATCCCTGCGACTGTGATATCCTGTCCACTACCATAGAAATGATTGATTACCAAAGAGCTACAATTCAATGTCATTAGCGATATGAGGCCCACCTTGCGATCTACGGTGTTACCTAAGATGAGTCTTCCCCACACCCGGATCCCCATGGCAAAATAGCACAGGGTGAGCAGATCTGGCTCCTCCCGTATTCCATCCTTGGAACTCGCTTGTTCGGAAGATCCATTCACCAACGCCATCGAGTCGGCTCTCTCTTAAATGTTGATGTCTTTTCTGGGGCTCGGGGGATGACAACCACCGCAGGACCTGGGGTTTGTCATCCACTATCGTTGCGTGGAAAATGGTGTTGAAACTGCTGGTATTGTTGAAACTACTGGTATTGTTGTTGTTGAACGAGACATGATTTCCCATATGCTGATGGCCCATGTTGCCTGAAGTCTGGCCGATAGAGGTGGAAGGGAGGAACGATGGATGTTGGCTGTGGTACCAAGGCGGCTGTCAGAGTGCTCAGAGAAGATGATGATCTTGGTGTGCAAGGCTGTCAGGTGTCACACATCAGTATCCTATGTCAACCAATAGTTTCACTCGAATCAGCACTCAAATCTCCCGATGAGCCTCTTCTCAATTCCCTTCCCAGAGATCCACCCTTCCGCTGCTGAAAATTCAGATACTTGTACGAGTACGGTAGCCAGCTCATTCACACCAAGCACAGCTACACTCAGCTCTCAGAAGTATTGTCCCGTACCCTGTTTTCCCGCAAAAGTCGGTATATTCATTAGTTGAAAAAATAATAAAACAAAATTATCCCAAATTATTTAAAATTGTTGAGCATAGGTATTTAGAAGGGAAATCATTTTTTTATTTACTTTATCTATTTATTTCGTAAGGCTGGATGCTCAATGTGAGTGGCTAGAGAGGAGTCAAAACCGCCCGTGCGCGCAACATGGGATTCCGGTGCAAAGGGCAAATACCCGAAGTCGCATGCCTCACAACCCACCCTATGATATATGCTTATCGGGAGCCAGTATTTCAACTACGCTGTACAGCTGTGGAAGTGTCCGTTTTGCTCCCGTAATTTAGGTGGTGTGATTGACCGAGCTGACACCTGTGCAATGGGATTGTCCGTAGGACGTGATATGCAATCGGATAAGAGAGTAGAATTTATGCTGATAAAGTTGACAGCAAAACACAGTAAAGTATAAAGACCAAAAGAATGGAAAAACAGCTCTTGGAAATGACGGGAGGGAAGGCGGTGTAAGGGCCGGTTACCCTCCTATTCCCCTTGGCTCATGGTCGGGCAAAGCAAGTGTGGCACGATTTTTCCGTTTTTATCTCATAGTCTGTTGAAAAAGTGGCCCACTTCTAGCGTTCCGGAGAGCAGGGGTGTTCCTGCATTACCGTGATGGAGACTACTACAATACGGTAAGTATTACCTCTCGAACCTTACCCTCTTATGTTACGGTATCCAAAACCGCATTCTCTTTGGAGAGCCGGCCACATTTAGTGCATACCTCGCTTTACTCACTGCGTTACCTAGATATATTAGCAGAGTATAAGTCTCAGGTATCAATCGACAGGACCATACGGTATAGATACGACGCTAGTCAAACTGGTTTAGTGAGCTTCGTAAGGGTCCCGTTTTTATTAGCACCCTTCTTGGGGTGGCCCACTACAATCTATGGGATAGGGTGAAAGTTGGTGACTTCACCTGATGGTAGAGGAAAGAAAAATACTAATAATGTATAAAGCATAGAAGAAAAACAATGTAGGAGCTATCATATCTTAATTAAAGTCTATATGGTACAGAAAAATTCAGAGTTAGAAATTCATACATAGAACATAGGGTTGAGTATGAATATATAGCACCATGGGAATTAGAGGACTATTGTAAATCAGTGATTAGGACTTGGCTGATAAATCAGATTCTGAATCTTCATGAATTTTATTAGATTCAATTATAGAAAATTCTGATTTTGCAGACCTCAACCTCTGAAATAATATAACCCTTGCACTATTTTTCTACAATGTTGGATACATATTTACTATTGCTTGTTCGTGTCTTCGTTCCTCCTATCTCTCGGGGAAAAGCAAAGCAATCCATGATGCCTCCAAGCGAAAATTTTCCACCTACTAAGCCTCTTCCCAAATAGAAAGTTCTATGGGTAAAAACCCCCAAGACATGACCAGAAAACCCCTAAAAACCTACTTGCTACGCTGCCGGTACATATCATACTGTATCATAAATTTACTTGCCCCAAACACCCGCCGCGAAATCGCTCTCGGAGTTCGCAGTGGCTCCTGCGCCACATTTGGCCCATGTAATACAACCCACCGAGCTGCACTCTTAGTCGATATATACTACTAGGAGTACCATGATCTGTGGTTTTGTTGCTCGACCACCAAATGGGTCCCAATCTAAGTAGATAACAGGATCGAGGAAAGAGGGACTGCGATCAGCTCAAGCACTCACAATCCTAGTTGGGTGCCAATCCCCCATCCACCACGCTGTTTTCCCACACCCCTAGTGATCCCACGAAAAGCACAGAATCAGGTCCACCCGTTTTGCGGCTCTGTGGGGTGTCGGGGGTTCCCCCACGCCCTTCCTTATCTCGCCTAACCCCTGACTCCCATCTCGGTCATCTCTCACCTCCAAATGTGGTCATGGGCAGTCACCCGGCGCCTTAGTTTCATGTACTTGTACATTTCAGATTTATCCACCCCCAGACTAGCCTCTTTTCGCAGCGAGCTTTTCTTCTTTTTCCTTTCTTCCACACTGGTACCTCCAGTCCCACCCCTCTTGTGTTCAGACCACGATACACTGAACTTTTTCCTATACCTTCTACATTCTTCTTTCAACTGCATGACACTGCCTTTTCCAACCATGGTATGCCTATTTCACATCCCTTATTATTCTTACTGCTTCTTTGGTCCTTTTTATTCCTAATTTTCACACGATGCCAACCTCGAATATCTTAGCCCTTCCCTCGGTTTTATGGTTTAGATAGAGAATTTATACCCTCTCCTGTAAATGGCATTCCTAGTCAAGCTTCTCGGGGTGCCCTGCCACCAACAAGGTAAACTCGGCTTTGTTTGGTAGATCTAGATCGATGTACCACTACTAGAATGATACGATCACCCTGTGGTTTCTGCATGCCTCCCATTCTCACTTGGGGATCCTGGGAAAAATGCCAGTACTGTTCTCGCTAGGACGGGTTTGAAAGTCCTTGTATCCGAATGCTTATGTAATCCGGGGGATGGCATATCTGGGGGCGATGGGAATGTGAAGGGCTTCTGCTTTTAGTTTGATTGAGTATCTTTTACAGTGTATCGTGTATCCCCCGTCATTGATCCTCCCCCTCGATCACTTGATATTCATAGGGCGCAACTGCGATCCCATTTGAATACCTTGAGCCCATTTTTGAGTTAATTCCTACCACCCTGACAACCTATTACCCGATACTAGAGCACTAGTACCAGCGGCAAGGGCAGCCGGCTCTTGGGGGGTGAGGTATGCTGTGGTCTCAGCATATGGGTGTTCCTGTGCCCTTTCCATATATCCAAACAACAGGAATAGTGTTTAGGAAAATGTGGGAAGAGTGGGAGGTGGATAGAGCTGGGAAATTTACTTCCGTGGGTTTGTAGGCTTCAAAAAACCAATAACTTTGGCCTGGGGGATAAACCATAATATTCACCTCTATAGTTGCAAGATTATTGGTCAAACTGATTTACAGGTGTTGTACCTGATCACCTCGGGACCCGGAAGTGCACTAAGAATGTTGTGGAGGGGGTGAAGCAGCCGATAAATTGCACACACAGAATTAAACATTAAGCAAAGGTCACTATAACATACTTCAGGGGAGATAGTTGGCTAAAGCCCCATTGGGGTGCAATGCCCAATTAGAGGACCGGTACCCCAACCTCAAGGTTTATATTTATCAACGCCTGAATGGCTGGCTGGTGTAACAGTTCTATTCTGAATCAACAAGGCGAGTGTTGAAAGAATTAGTAGGGGCTGAGACAGTCTGGCGGGCGGGAAATGTATATGTCCGTATAAAGATGAATGATCAGAAAAAAAAGAGGGGTAAGATAACATGATAAGACATAAGATATCCTCCACAATCCCGAATTGCAAAAGGTTCCAGCACGGGTCTAGGAATATTGATATATATGTACAACCGATTCATCCGATCTATGATGTCCCATGATTGCTCCAACTTGATTAAGGAGGGTATTAATTTTCCTAAGGACGAAGAATTGTAGTGGAAACGACAAAGTACTAGGCATAGTAGTAGTATGTTACAGGAGAAGAAAAGAGGGGGGGGATGTTTATCGTGGGCTGGTGGGATAGATATATTGGGACAGGGATATGGGAGAGAGAAATAATGGGGATAGGAGAATAGAAAATCACAGACTGTGCGCCTGAGGTGGCGAGCAAATAAATACCTCGGCGGCCCCGAAGGGAATATTTCCTCTGCCAGAGCACGATGAGCAACCTGCTCAACGCGAAATGGTCAACTTCAAGTTAGAAATTAGAGATCCATTGGTGGACGAGGAGTAGAGGGGGTGGGGTTTGCGGAGGGAGTAGCTGCGTAGGATGGGGCGGGGCGAGCATGAGTGGGGAACCAGCAATGGAGGATAGGGGACGCACAACAATGTGGGTGGGGGAGGGGCAAGGTGCTGCAGGGGATTTCAAACCCTCCGGATCCTTTTCAGGGGGGGTTCGAGTACCTCAGACGACTCAGTTGTGAAAGGCTCAGGTAATTCTTCGCCGAGTGCGGATTGAGCAACGGGGCCATGCCTCTCATCTGGAAGTGGTAAGTTTCTCGTGCACCTGTTTCCGGCAGCCGATGTAGAGGGCCTTGGGGCGCTGTTATCCGCCGTACCGGGATCGACATTGTTCCGCTCCAATAGCACCTTCACAATTCCCTGGTGCCCACGCAAGAAAGCCCGTGTACTTGGTGTTCGGCCATTCTTATCCGTCGCATATGGATTGACATCGTTCCGCTCCAATAGAATCTTCACAATTCCCTCATACCCATACTCGGCAGCCCATGAAAATGGTGTTCGGCCATCCTTATCCGCCGCATCTGGATTGACATCGTTCCGCTCCAATAGAACCTTTACAATTCCCTCATTCCCAACTCCGGCAGCCCATGAAAATGGTGTTCGGCCATCCTTATCCGCCGCATCGGGATTGATATCGTTCCGCTCCAATAGAATCTTCACAATTCCCTTGTGCCCAGCCACGGCAGCCCATGAAAACGGTGTTCCACCATCCTTATCTGCCGCATCGGGATTGACATCGTTCCGCCCCAATAGAATCTCCACAATTCCCTCATGGCCATTTCTGGCAGCCCATGAAAATGGTGTTCGGCCATCCTTATCCGGCAGGTTGGGATTCACACTCTTCTCTTTTAGTAGCAGCTTAACTATACAAGCATGTCCCTTCCTTGCAGCCCAAGACAACGCTGTGTGACCTTGTAGGTCCTCTGCGTTTAGATCCCACTCCTTGATCTCAAATAACGAAATCATGACGTCCGCAACCCCTAAGAGAGCTGCGCCGTGAAGCCCGGTGAAACCAATTGGCCTATCTTGACTATTAAAGGGGGGATTCCACTCGGATTCCTTCAATAAGAGCAGCTTGCAAGATATGTGCGTATCGAATTGATCGAGTAGTTCCAGCGCGAGTGATATTACATTCAGGTTAGTTTCTCTTCGCGCATGTGCTCCCCAGTAACAAGAAGCATATTCAAGAAACGGAGTCATTGGTGGGGGTGAACGGAGAGCGGCCGAGAGGTCCCCCATGCATGCCAAGTTTAGGTAACTTAAGCAAACCTCGGCAATCGTAGATTGGGGACTATGGAAGAGTGTAGGATTGGCCAGAATATGCTCCTGTAGAGTGAAATGCACGAGCCGGACTTTGCAAGATGATGAATCGAGAGCGACCAGTCCTAATCCACAACTCAATACCGTCCGTATTGCGGGCTCGTTATCACCGTTTAGATCTTTCAATCCGATTTCTACCCCTAAAGCTTGACATAGCTCCTCTGGTTGCAATGGCCGTTCTGAATGCGCTACCCACATGATGGCTGCCATTCCTAGTCGTGATCTGTCCTCTTTCTGAGCCCTGATTCTTTCTAAAGTCGTCGCATATACATCTCCTACACCGTGACCACGTGACATCCGTTTCAACTTTTCCTTCCTTCTGTGAATCGTTGTCTCCGTGAGAATTGCCTCGATGGTAAGAGAGACGAGAAGGAATCTATATATAATTATTCATCAGTGACTTGACTTCTAAATAAGGTAGGAGTACTAGGAATCTCGGCATACATGTCGGCCATTGTTTTCGGGATAATTTCCATTATCTCAGCTCTTAGACACTCATCCATGGCGCCAGATTCTGTGTCCTCGTCCAATTTCATCCTCAGAAATGCCTCGGTGTCTTCCTTCGTTGGACTAACTGAGATTGTTTTTACCCCGGGGAAGTGCTTCTCAACTTCACTGCGGATGAAAGGCCTTGCGGTCAGAAATAAGTGGACATTTGGCAACTCCCTCACAATATCTCGGAGAGAGCTAAGAAGCCCGGCGCGATGTGCAGGGAGTGATTCATCCAAGCCGTCAATACATATCACCACCTGCTGTCGTTGGGCGATTGCAGTCTTCAAGATACTGACAAGTTCCGGGACTCGAGGGCCTACACCGCCAAAATGGTCCTTCGCGTCCTCGAAAGCTCTGCGTATATCCCCCGGAATGTTTCCGCTCCCCACCAACTACTTTAGCATGGCTCCCAGAATGTTTGATGTAGTCTGTTCCTTTCTGTCAAGGTAGTCGCAATACATCCCTGCGACTGTGATATCCTGTCCTCTACCATAGAAATGATCGATTACCAAAGAGCTACAATTCAATGTAGTTAGCGATATGAGGCCCACCCTGCGACCTCCGGTGTTACCTAAGATGCGTCTTCCCCACACCGGGATCCCCATGGCAAAATAGCACAGGGTGAGCAGATCCAGCTCCTCCCGCATTCCATCCCTTAAACTCGCTTGTTCCGAATATCCATTGTCCGACGTCATCGAGTCGGCTCTCTCTTAAATGTTGATGTCTTTTCCGGGGCTCGAGGGATGACAACCATTGCAGGACCTGAGGTTTGTCATCCGCTATCGTTGTGAGGAAAACGGTGTTGAAACTGCCGGTGTTGAAACTGCTGGTATTGTTGTTGTTGATCGAGACACGATTTCCCATATACTGGTGGTCCATGCTGCTGAAGTCTGGCCGATAGAGGTAGGACGGAGGAATCATGGATGATGGCGGTGGTGCTAAGGTGGTCAGCGGGCTGCTCACAGAAAATGATCTTGATGTGTGAGGCTGTGGGGTGTCACACATCGGTATCCTATCCTATTTCAACCAATAGTTTCACTCGAATCAGCACTCGCATCTCCCAATGAACCCCTTCCAAATTCCCTTCCAAATTCCCTTCCAAGAGATCCACATCTCCACGGCTGGGGGGTCCGATACTCGTGGACAATTCATTCATACCAAGCCCAGCTAACTTTCAATCAATATGCTACGGGTGCATCACCTTACCCCCTACCCTACTAGTACACTGCCTCGTTGGGCTACCCGTACGCCAAACCAAGGTTCCAAGGCTGACAAAATTTTCAGCCGGTTAGCGAGGCTAAAAACGACCTAATTAGGACCATAAGTTAGTGTATCAACTCGTTAAATCCACCATCAGAGATCTCGACCAAAATCACCATCTAAACAGTAATGGGCTCAGCCGAGTAGGCTAGAGAAATTACGAATATCAGTTAATGAGATTCAGCCGACTCACATTCCTCCAGCTATACTGCGCCTGCCAAACACTATCCCCACCGGGGGGTTTTGTCTCTGATCTGGAGGGGATACTTACCGATCCGTGATGGTGGATCTAACGAGTTTATGCGGTATTATTCTGTTTAATCACACCGGCTGTACCGGTACCGATATTCTACGAGTGCGGCCGATAAATATATTCGTCACGTGCCTTATCTAAGGACACATCGCAGCCAAAAGGTGCACTGAAATTTTCTTATCAGACTCACGTGACGAATATATCTATCAGCCGCACTCGTATTTCGACCTCAACCAACACCGGCTGGGGATGCTCGCCTCAGCGTTTCATCTCCGGTATGTCATACTTTAGACTAGGCTGCTAGTAAATTCTGTAATCCACGAGCACGGCGCCGGCAACACAGAAACCTCGCCGATCCTTTTACTGTAATGCTCTACGCTACTGCTGCTAGCACTGCACAAGCATTGATAAGGGCGCTTGCATCATCCCAGTACAGTAATTCCCAGAGGCCCACAGGTTCTATCATGTATTCCCGTGTATGATACACGAAACCGGAGCAGAATCACTGTGGGGCATGGCCGGGTGTAGGGGGTGGTGACCTCCTGAATTGG